ACTTATACTCTCTGTTGGTGAACATAGACATTAAATTTTTTTATCTTAAGTGTAGGAGAGGCAGGAAGTTGTCATTGAATTATGTATCGGTTTCAACTTCTTTTAAGATTTATGACCCCTTCTGTAGGCCTGTGTATTACAAAATTTTCAAAGTACTACAAAATTAAAACTGTAAAAATACAGAATAAAAGTGACGTGCCAATTTGTACATTTACCAAAGAGAAACGTTGTTCAAAGCAATACTGTAAAATATTTCATTGCATTTAATAGAAAATTGGGATTTAGTGGTGAATAAAGCCAATATGTGGGCCAAAAACCCAAAGACTTTATTACAGAGATTTTCGTTGTAAAATTGTTAACATAAATTCCCACCGATATAAATAATTCATCATAGATAAAAGGATTTAAATTTTGTACGCCAGACGCGCATTTCGTCTACAAAAGAATCATCAGTGACGCTCGAATCAGAAAAGTGAAACAGGTCAAATAAAATACGAAGTTGAAGATTATTGCGGACCCGAAATTCCGAAAGGTTTTGTTAAATACAGCATAATAAGGTAATCTATTCCTTGGGTAGAAAATCCTTAGTATGTCCAAAAATTCAAAAACTTTAAACAGTTAGTTCATCATGACCATATCAATGATAATGAAGTGCTGACTACTTCTGGGGTAGACAATCCTTAGTTATTGTTTGTTTACATAGAACTAAATTTATTTTACTTACTCATTTTTAACCAATCCAGTAAACGAGTTGCAATACATGATAAGATGGGCTACTACATGTTTACAATTCTCGGAGATCACGTGTTTTTTACTGACATAAAACGCATTTTTTTTCACAGATTGCCGGAAAAACATTTCGTCTTTCTTTTTATGCGATTACATTTACAGACCATGATATAAAGTATTAGTTCTTTACACAAATTAATGAATACTTGAACCATAGCCAATATTATCATGGATAAATAAATTTTTTTTTAGACATTTCGTTCACGAGACAAAAACCAAAAATCGTTCACGAGACAAAAACCAAAATGACACAAAAACTGAAAAGTGTTTAGTTGTACTTGCATTCAGATTTCCAAAACGGGCGTCTCCTGAACTTTTCAGTGATATCGTTGAATAGGAGAAGCGAGTATCTAAGTTTGGTAAGATGCACTAAAGATATTTTTCTTTGGCACATAATATTTTGTATGGTAAATAACCTACTTCTGTCATTGCAAAGGTCAATAAAACTCAATAAAAGGGCCTTAGTTTGTAAAAACAAAAACAGCCTCAGAGATAACCAGGAAATGTTTTCTATTTTCACATGCTATGAACGTTTTATTGAATATAATTATTGTCTCAGTAATTGTTTAATTGATTTATAAGAATATAATTCCATTCCTTACTTCTCAGTTTTCACCCTATTTATTACAAAGGCCCTACTGTGACTTTAAGATGAATAACAACAATAAAAGCGCAATTCATTTTATTTTTTTTTCCTTTAGCGCATAGTGAATTTCCTTAACTTTGTTTCCGAGTACACGATGAACATGTCAATGAGACAGCAACTTTTACAACAAAAATAACCAAACAACAACTAGAAGACAGCATTCAGTCACGTGTCACAGTCTATTTATATAACGATATTTTGATAATACTTAATTGTAAGTAGCTTTAACTTAACTGCTTTAATATCATGTCAATAAAAAAGTCAACGCAATCACTGCAGATAGATTCTGTGTCTGTCTTTAATTTCATATGATGTTTTGTAGCCTGTATTGCTTGATATCAAGTAGGATTTCTGTGCCATATTATCTGTGCATTATGTAACACTTAAGCATGCAGGCTACGACAATTCCTTAAGCACATAGTATCATGTAATCCATTAGTACACAAGTTTTAAAGACCTCAAGTGAATTTACTGTACAATAGACACTTTGTCATCAATTTCACGTGAATGAATGCACAGGTACAGTCCTAAACAAAGACAAAACCTACACTTTATTACAATGACAATACAAAAATAAAAGTCAAAATCTGAAGCTAGTGAGCAATGATTTTTTAAACCTGAGCATGCAAATTGAACATTTTCTGATTACCTCTGAGGGCGTGCCGCATTTGGCTTTAGTTTTTTGGACAATGGTCCTTTTATTGACTTTCATTGACCTTTGCAATGACAGAAGTAGGTTATATATCATAAAATCTATTCTGTGCCGAAACGGAAAAGATTTGTGAATGCATTTTACAGACACTTGCTTTCCATATTTTACGAGATAACTGAACAGTTTAGAAGCCTCCCGTTTTCGAAATTTGAATGCAAATAATCATCTCTTTAGTATTTTGTGCTGTTTAAATGCGGTCTCGTGAGCGCATGTCTGAAATCTAAGTTTATTTATCCATAACACTATTGGCTATGGTTCAAGTATTTCAAACACTCTTTCTTAGGGCAGAAACAATTATTCGTTATTCTGAGCATAGAACTTATGGTTTATATCATGGTCTGTAAATGTAATTACATAAGAAGAAATAAAGATGAAATGTTTTCCGGCAATTTGTGAAAAAAATGCGTTGTTTGTCACTAAAAGCACGTGTTGTCGATAGATTGTAAACACTTAATAGTCCCTCGTGCATTGCAACTCATTCACTGGATTGGTCAATAACCAAGTTAAAACAAAATTGAGTATTATATGTAAAATAAATAATTATTTTGGCAGGAACATAAGTATGCAAAATTATGTATATCCGTATAAGTTAGTGTACCCGACCTGTTAAACTTTTTATAGCGAAGAAATGTTCATTGTCAAAAATAACCGACGCAATGACTGGACAACGTTATAAACATAACCTTTTTCAATTAGTCTATAACATCAAAAGGAAATATTTAAAGGTCAATATCCCATTTTTTTTATGTGGTCAGTTACGGTTTGTATTCAATTCAGGACATTTACATCTATCTGATTTAATTTGTATTTGAACTTCAAATTTTTAAGATAAATATTTATACACATGAAAAAGTTGAAATTGTAAAAACTGTTTTATGTAAAATATATGTGTATAATCAAGCATATGAAATTAAAGTTAACTGTAAGTCTATTAACATATTACAGAGTAAGGTATTTTTGGTTATTGACTCGATAATGCCTGGTCACAAGGATATAAATTATTATAAAAACCGGTGCTTCATTATTTTGAATGTATTGGAAACACTTGAAATTGTATTTTGTTTTCAACGGCCGATCTGAAATTATTTAGACGTAAAAGGTAAGAATAAAATAAAAATATAACGTTAATATTCAAACTGATTATCAGAAGTAATTATAAACATTCCTGATGATAATCGTTCCCTTTTAAACATACATGTATTACAGTAGTATTGGAATCTAAAAAGAGGTGACCCCCTCCAAAAAATAAGAACAAGGAAACAAGTTTAAAACTGGGTCTACTATAACACATGGTAGTCTTTGTACACAATACAGAAGTATTATTTTGCATTTTCTCCAATATGGAAAGATTATAGCTTACAATACTAAGGCCTCAAGTTTTAGAAAACAAATATAAAATACTTTTTTATATTTAAGATTAGAAATGAGATAAGAAGATCTTCTTTTGCTCAGTCGGCTAGAGCGCTGCCTTTATATACCAAGATTGAGGTTTGGAAACCCGCTGGTAATCATCCATGTGTTTCCACAATAATAGGAATTGTCAAAAGACATGTAACGGTTCCATTTAAATTTATTTCATAATTATATACTTAGTGTTCAAACTGTGAAGAAATAATTAAAGTGCATGCGAGGGGAAATAGCAAGACAAATTTTGTATAATTGTGGAAATATTTCCATGTATAAAACGCACTCTTTTATTGAGATGAGTGTAATTGGAAAAAGGAAAAAAAAAACCCAGAAAAAAACCGTATCGAATACACCTTATCGCTAACCCCGCTTGACCCGAGAATCAGTCCCGCTCGAACTTTTGACGTCATACAACAAACACTTTTCCATTGTGGCGTCAGATATTTTCTATTATGACGTCAAAATTTTACGGGAACTTGTGTGATGTCCAGTAATGGCGGACAAATAGCGATAAGGTGTATAGACACTAAATTTTTTTTTCTCTATTCCTCTATTTCATAAATTTCTATTTATATACGTGTATATGTAAACGGACATAATTATTACAGAGGTAATCACATTTTGTCCTCTACCACAACTGTCACAAAACTATATTCTACATACCAGTATTTTTAGAGAAATGAGACTAAAATCAATGAAATATAAAATTGAATTGAAACCGTAATCACCAGAAGACTGCTTTACAACATGAAAAAAGTGATGGGTACTGAAATTATGTTAATTAGCTAAAACCTGAGTTAAGAAGCAGTCTTTTGAGGGCTAGTATGATATTAAGGATTGCGTTGGATTGTTAACAATAAATGATAATAATTATGAAAATAATGTACATATAATTGATATGATTCAAGATCAAAGGAATGTGCAATAAAACGTGATTGAATTAGTAAGGTTAAATAAATGGATACTAGATACTGATTTTTCGCCTTTCAAAAACTACTATGAAAATGCCGTGCCGTCTAAAATGTGATTTTGTATTTTAGAGATCTAAAAAGTTATACAAAGTTAACTTAAAGAGGATAAACTCATATTGGTTGTAGTTATTTGTTCTACGTACAGCTGCACATATTTGATGAATATCTAGGCCGAGAACAAATTAAACGATAAAAAAATGATTAGAAGTAGGGATGGTTCAATATTATACTTTGTTTTTTATGAAAACATTGCATACCTTTTGAAGATACAGTTTTGATCCTGTCGTAATTTAACCTAGAGTATCCCATATTTTAACCAGTAAATCGATTCATGCAATATCTTCTGAAAATTAATTACGAATTTGTGCCTTTCAAGTATTCACTTATCACAGAAAGCCAAATGTCATAAGCTATTGTTTATATATTGCCAAGGTAATAGTACCCAATTAAAATCAATATATAATTTGCTGCGGACTGAGTGATATAACAATGTCAGATAAGTGTTTTATATAATTCAGTCAGGTGTATTTACACATATAATACCATGCATTAAGTAAATCTGATGATTGCTAGGAGATGTATGCACTCAGCATGTCGGATAGAGCATCCTTTAAACATTTCAATAGAAACAGTGTATTAAACGACTTGTTGCATGACAGATTTACGACATTCATAACGTAAGATGAGATAGTTTCCTTGTGCATAACTTATTGTTAAAGAAGATTTGAACAAACTGTTAATAAAGAAGATCGGTTCAAAATTTGTTATCTTCTATTTAATGTTCTACACGTAGACTTTAACTGTTAATAGAATATTAATAAATATCTCAACTTATTGGAAGATTATTCATGGTTGTCAACTTTCTCAGGTTAGTTTTTAATTTCATTTTGTGGTGTCGTTGTATTTTTACGATATAATTTTCGAAATTAAAAATCATATAAAATGTAGAACGAACAGATTCATTTTCTAACAGCATTTCATAATGTTAACCTGGTCAGAAAATCTTATTCCAAATAATAACAAAAAAAGAAAAAAAGAAGAAAATTATCACAATTTGTATATATTGCGATATTGTATTTGCCGCTTTTCGTTTACGCTAGTACACAAATGTAGCATTAAAACCAACTTATCAACTCTGAGTAATAAACCTTCTGAATTTGCTGAAGAAGATCGGTTCAAAATTTGTTATCTTCTATTTGATGTTCTACACATAAACTTTAACAGTTAATAGAATATTAATAAATATCTCAACTTATTGGAAGATTATTACCTCGCGAGGTAACACGAATGATTCTTAAGAATAATGTCGTTCTAAATACGGATGTAATATTTGCTGCAGGACGTTACACAATCATCAATTTATCACAAAAAAAAAACATACTGTATTCATCGATTCTATAACTGAGTAGATTGAAGATATAGTACACTATAAAGTAATATTTACATATTTCTCGTGTGTTATGACAAATAAACTTCTTTTTTCTACTTTCAGAACCATTACATAGAATGAATTGAAATGTGAATATTTTTTAATTATTAAGATGCCTTCTACAAGTAAGCACCATACCGATATTGATTCTCGAGGGAACATTAAAATTGATCACAGCACGACATACCAAGAGAATTCGTTCTTATCAGACAGTCTAGAAATTAAAATAGCCAGTTTACACAAAGCAAAATTCAGAGCAAGTATAGATACTGACGATGCTTTAAAAGAGGCGCGAAAGGAAGCCGAAGAAATTTCGCGTTTAAGTTCTGCTATTAAACGTGGTGAGATTAAAGATAGTGTTTCTCTGTATGATAGACGATCTCATACTCCAAAATCACGTGATGGAACACCGCACACAACGGAAGTACTAACTTATGGAATTCAAAGTTCTAGTTTAGGGAGCAGACCTCAGACTCATGTTGAGAGCAATATGCGTCGTGACTCTGATAAGCCGCCTGTAAGTACGCTAACTATGTTTGCTATTTCTATGCAGAAATTAACTTCCTCGAAATCATCAACTAAAAATGATAATAAAGTTATACATAAAAACATTCAAGGCTACCGAAGCTTTATGACACTTCGCTGTCTTTCGTCGCCAGCATATCTGAGAAAAGAGCGAAGTAAACGACAGCGTCGCCCGGCAATAGTCAGATTTCAAGATCTTAAAGATGGTGAAGTGATGGAGGCTCAGGATATACCAGTCATGAAACCAGAAGTTGCGTATGCAAGGCAACTGCGCAAGCGTCAAATTCGTTCACGGAGAGAACTACAAGAACTAAGTAAAATAGAACAAGAAGAAAAATATGGAAAACCGGATAAAACGGATGAATTTAAACAGAAAAGATATGCTTGGGCAAAAGGAAATGATGAACTTAACACTAGAATACGTTCATTTCTGGTGGATGTGGAAACTTTCAATAAGCGACAGAAGAAACCAGATTATCTAATGACTGACATTGTCCGATCAAAAACATGTATGGTGTAGATTGAAATACAGGACATCGAGCGGGATATGACTGAAAAATGGACGGAAACGAAAATGTGATTTAAGTCTTCAGGATATGCAATTAATAAGACTGACTTGTCAATGTAGATCAGTATTTGTTGTAAATTTTCCGTAAAAATTCAAATACAAATAAGCAAAACACTATAAAATAAAAAGTAATAACTAAATAGAACCATTTATAAGAAATATTAACTGTAACATGTTCTATTAAAGCTACCAAATTCTTGTGTGTTAACTGTATTGTAAAATTGCTGTAAAGGTGATGACTTTAGGGAAAATAAGTCTTCTAGACAATACATTTTTATAGTATATGCTTCTGTTTGTTATTATTTTGTAAGACATCTGGGAATCAAAAATATCAAAATGTTCAAGTTTTCAAGGAGTAGGATACATCAAAATGACAAATAGAATGTTCTTTTAGCATGAACAATACAAAAGCGAAATAGTAAAAGGGAAATTTGTCATCTATGAAATCTAACAGAAGTTCAAATATCCAGAATACTCAAAAATACAATCACATGCAAAAACTAGCCAAAAGCTACTTCTAAAAACATGAGCATATTGAAGCAAGTTAAACACAATAAATGATTAGGACGGTTCGAGTTCTCCTTATATAGCAAAGATTTAAGCCAGCCTTGAAAGGAAAGTTTATCCCTCTCGACATGTATATTCAGCTACAACAATTTGACTCCCAGCCCCTAATCTTTGTTTTTATTCCTAAATACTTCATGCTAAGAGGAGAAGCAGCAAATACAAATTGTCAGTTCTTAAGTTTTGTCGTATATCTAACCAGCGACCTTCCACACTCCAGGCGAGCAAATCACAACGAAACCACCGATGCGGATAATGCAGTAAGAAAGCTCGGTAGTAATAACATTTCATTTCAATAAAAAAGTTGTAGAATGACTATTTCAGAAACCATTAATTACTTTTCAACCTGTGGATTCATTAAAACATCCCACCTGTTTCACGATTGAAAATATAAACTTTGAATCAGGAAAATAAAAATTGTAAATATTCAATAGACTTTTTCTATATTCGGAGAACCGCCTTGGTGGTCTAGTGGTAGTGTGTTCGTCTCGAGTGCTGGAGGTCGTGGGTTCGAACCCCGGCCGGTCAAACCAAAGACTTTAAAGTTGGCATTTGCTGCTTCTTCGCTAAGCACGTGACATTAAGGAGTAAGAGCAAAGTCTGGTCGGCTCGGAGTCAAAATAATGTGTCCGGGTAAAGTGACATGTCTTCCTGTGTACTATTACATTGTGAACTAGCACATTAAAAATCTGGCTCAGCTTGTCGATCTAGTACAAAGCAGGGTTAATATTTATATTACATTAACATATGCATGTTCTCGTCCTGAATATGCATATTAATTTGCCGCTGGACGTTAAAAAGTCATTCATCATCATCATCTATATTCAGATGAAATTCTAGCTGCAGCATTTAATAAAATATCATGATGTATGTATCTATTATTAGATTATTTATTTTTATTTTATTGTAAGTTTCCCAAAAAAATCGACTGCTGTTGCATAGACGATTTAATATAATTTTAATTTGAATTTCCAAGTCAGGAATATGACAGGTTTTTTTTCCATTCGTTTGATGTGTTTGAGCTTTTGATTTTGCCAATTGTTACGGGACTTTCCGTTTTGAATTTTCCTTGGAGTTCGGTATTTTTGTTGTTTTACTTTTTATACCTTCTAACAAAATAGTTAACAGAAAATATGTCAGATGGTGTTGAATGTGCCGTAAAAGCTTTATTCGACAACTCTCTCTCTCTCTCTCTCTCAAATTTTGATTTTAATTGAATATTTTTACGTCTCAGAGGCTTATACCTAATTATTGGACACCATCCTTTAGTTTCAAAACCCACACTACATGTTATTTATCAAGTCCCGAAGTCATAGCATTACCAATAATTTCTGATTCACAATTCAATAACTAAATGAAGTTTGTTAAGCTTATTAAAACTTTTAAATGGAATGTCATTAAAAATTCATCATTTTTATTCAATTTCGAACACCGTAGCATGCCTGATAAATAATGCTGCGAAGAATATAATTATTGCTATAGAAATATTTACATGCTTGATGCACACAGCACTGGCATCAATGGAGTCACTCATAAAATTAATTGTTGGACTAAAATGAAAGTGAATGTTCTCCGTTGTCAAGCAATAAATTAAAGGGATGTCACCACTGCATTAAAATTTATGAAATTTCAATGAAGAACATCGATAGTAAGGCTTTTGTTCAGATACATCTCAATGCCATTAAGATAAACATTTAATATTGTTAAAACAATTATTGGTTATGGATGAGTTCCAGTGTACCAAATTCATAAAAAAAATATATTCATTGAATTTGAGTGATTAAATTCAATTCGGGAAGGGTAGGTTGAAGAATAATGACGTAAACTCTTCATTCGAGCGTTGCACTTTCCAAAATAAAATTTTGAAATGTTCAATACACGCATTGATTAGCAAGATCGTTCATTTATACAGCGTCGGTTTTTTTTTTATACTATCTCTCTTTTAGATATGAACAAAAAGAGTTATGGTTACACATCACTAAGAGAGAAACGACAAAAATAACCACAAGACACTTAAAGGGCAATATGTAATCAGAGGTGTCCACACAATACTTCAAGCTATAAATAGTCAGAGTCTATTATAAATAAACGTGAAAATATTTTACATACACCATGAAAGATCCATCAACAAAACAAAACAAAAGAAAGAAGGGAAAAAAAGACATTCAGACTTATGACATTAGACAACCACTGATTTAAAACAGACACATGAATATGTGGCTGGAATACACTAGTTTTATAAGTTTCCAAACATCCACATTTTTTTTTTCAACCTCAATCAGTAGACTACTGGACGTATATAAAAAAAATCAAAGTATAATACATTAAAACGAAAGACACACTTCAGTTACCGGATTCATGTCATCCCAAAAATACGAGATACACTAGCTGATTGAACCACAAAAGATAAATTATAAGTTTATTAAGCAAAAGTGAAAGATTTGACGTTCATATCCCAAAACTTTATGAACAATATCAACGTTGAAAATTAGGTGCGAAATATCACTTTTTTTTAATTTCTGCAGGTTAGTTGCACGATGTTGCTCTCTTAATAATAAGACAAAACTGTTTCAAGAACGACAAACCATGTGTATTTTCTTGTAGTTTAGACTTTGAGAATATCTATCATCGAAACTCAAAAGTTATACGATTTTATAATACAAGTGCCTTATATGGAAAAAATATGGCAATTCTACTTTTTCATAAAAATTCCCAATTTCAGGAATGATATTAAAAAAAATGCTTTATTTTATATTACAACGAGACATGCCTACCCCTCACGAGACGACCAAAAAGTATCGTATGTAAAATAAACAATTCCCGGTATCACACAACGATAAACAAGATTGAGGATTTTTCTAATTGAATAAAACATTGTTTCATTTAACACGAATAAACGAAGGGAAACAATTATATTTTATATTCTTTTAAACAATTCTATGTGTCTGCTTTAATTTTGGAAAATAGATATTTTTAATACTTATCTACTTATTCCTATATGTATTTTTGAAAAGTGAAAGGCAAATGTTGGAAATACCACTTGCTAAAGAATGATTTATTTTTGTTTTGTTCACGGCTTACTTTAACGTAATGAGGGTGTTAATATGCATACAGTTTTTGAAAACATGAATGATTATAAATCAAGTCTGAAAAATACAAATATAGCAATAGCCCCGTCTGTAATTATGGCTGTAAATTTGATAAGACCAGAACCATGACACACATTCTTATCTGTCCACGTTTACAAATGGCATTGGATAGAATTATGTTGTGCTTGTTCTTTAGTGGAGTTTTTGCAAATAGAAATGATGATAAACTTTTAAAAAGAATGGAAATTTATGAAAAGAAAATTTCTAAACTTGAAAAGGAGGTTCGAAAGATGTCTGTGATAGAGAATGAGGTAGCCGAATTACGGCAATGGAAACTTAACATTGAACAAGTATTTCAAGGTAAAATAATACCATTGCATCATCTAAAATAAACCTTCAAGTTGGCTTCCTTCGTTTATCTGTTTTTTTAGTTGCAGATCAAAGGCTATTGAGAAATAATGTATTTATTTTTAATATTACATACATGAAGATTCAAACCGACTCCGACTGACGGAATTTGATGTGCCATCACTGAACAGATGTTCTGTTTGGTTGAATTCGCCTTTTCAGAATGTAATAAAAGCATTCTGTGTAATATTTTCAAAAGCGTGCACCAAAACGTTAAAAAAAGTCCCAAATAGTTTTCATTTCATGTCTTTTAGATGATAATACTGATTTCAAAAAGCTTGTTGAACTTTAGCATCTATTATATGTGAAAAGTGCGTTACAAGAAGATAAGACAAATTCTGGTATATGTTTAGAACAGGGCTGCCTATTGATATGTAAAGTCAGTATAGAATATGGAATAATGATCATAAATACAATACGCACAACAAATAGTTTTCCTTCCTTTCTTTTTATGCTTTTAGTTTTCAATGATAAACCGTGTAGCATATATTAATGCATTCTGTAATAGTCAAACTCCGCTACTTTTCACCAAGATTACAATATTGACTCTATGACTGTAGAGTTCCATGACAGATACAGGGAAAGTGTTACAAGCAGATCATAACAACTATGCACTTGTGACAAATCTTAACCAAAATAAGAAAAGAGTAAACACGTCGATGATTTAGATCTTACCGCCTTCTCAATGTTATATAATACATAAATCCGAATAATTTAAATTCTCCAAAATTGTATCATCAGCCGATTTCTTTTCCTTGTTTTGCCAAGACACCACTATAATTTATTTGCAACAGTGACTATTCTAAATGGATGAAACTTCAATGCCAAAATACCCTAAACGTTTTATATAATTCGATTTGAGACGGTCATGATTTTAGTAAAAACTTACAAGGTTTTCAGTAAAGCTTTTCCTTGTGTTATTAACCGAGATGCAGTGTTATACACTTTTGAGACGCAGTGGACGCCAAACTGTCATTGAAACGGATGTCCACTACTTGAATTTTTTTATTGACGTTGTGACGTCAGACTGAATGAAACTACAAACAAAAAAAGTCAATTTGTTGATACTATCAGCTTTGGAAATAGAAAATCTTTCGTATCTTAGAGCTTTCTTAAGCTTATGTTCATTGTTATTTGTAAATATGTGCCGACTCTAAATAAATTTACATACTTACTTGTCCAATAACAAGCTTTATAGAAAATCTACTATTAGTCCAATTACA